AAAAAAGAGTAATGGTCGAGAGTGATAAGAATAGCAAATAAGGTAACACTGTGCATGTTCAGTGTGTTCCTTGGCCAGCTCTGTGGTGGGGCCTCGGCGATGACCTCATGTGAGACATGGAATCCCTCAAAGGACAGCACCTCACCATCCTAGAATAATCAGCATAAATGTGGTTGCTATTTCTGTGACATCAACATTATCTAAAGACTTGAAAAATGTTAACTAATAAAATTTAAACTAAAACAAATAGGCACCTATGATGAAATAGCACAGCATGGGTTTTTTGGGTTTTTTTTTTTTTTGGATGGAATCTGGAATTTGAGGCTCATGACTGATGTCTTTTGACCATAGCTTTGATCCTTCTGGGGATGTGTTCATGCTCATCCATCTTTAGAAAGACTTCATTGACAACCTTATGAAATCCCCAATGTGAGTGACGGAACACCAGGACAGTGTTCTGGACAGGAGAGTGACGTAACCTGATCTAGTGTGTTTTCAAAAGATCACTTCAACCTCCAAGGTGGAAGATGGGTTTGGGGGCAAAGAGGTGAGTATGGGAACCTGGGGAAGGATAATGAAACCTCAAACAAGTCAGAGGCAATGGCCCAGGGCAGGGGTGGGGGGTCATGGGTGCATCTGCAAGATGCTGGAGGTGAAAGAGCTGGACCCAGAATATAAGCTACTTTTCATTGAGGATTGGCCATGTGAAGCACAGTTAAGAATTCTGGAGAAAGTAGCTCACCGTGAGTGTGTGCCTTTGGCATTAGTAGCATTATTTTACAGATGAGAAGATGGAAGTTAAAAACAATTTTTATTTCCTTGACAAGACTAAATAGACCAAGAGCAGTAATAAATTTCGAACACAAAGCTTAGCTTTGAAAGACCACTCCCTAAACTGCACAGACTTAGGGATGTTCTTCCTCACGTCCAAGAAAATCTGCTTTATTGGAATGTGAAGGCCTCCTTCCACTGCCTGCAGACTCTGGGGAGTGATCTTCCAACAGCTGTCTCATAAAACCCTGTCACAGACATGGAGGCAGCAGCCCAGCCCTGGACTCCACTGCCGTCTGCAGTAGCCTGAGGATGGTGTATCCAGCATCCACAGACCTCTCAGGAGGAAGCCGCCACGACAGAAACACATTGAAGCTACTTTGAACCATGTGCTCAATTCCACGACAGCGCTTCTCCACTCCTCATTCCATCTGCTGTGAACCCTTGGGCACCATGGCTTGGGCGTGGGGCCTAATGATGCAGAGAGAGGCCAGGTGCTCCCGCTCTGGACCAGAAGGCCCATGGCCACCTCAGTGGCCGGGGTGGAGACAGATAGTGAAAGACAGGGGATTTAAACCTTCCTGTATGGGAGCTTTGACAGCCAGTGAAAGCTAATGAAGCCCTTCCAAAATTGTGTTTCTATGGATGCTTCTGTTCCAAAAGATGTTAATAAATGTTCCAGGGGGGAAATAGAGTCTGTGGTCAAGATGGTTTCACAGACGTTGAGTAAACAAAGCAGCCCAGCTTTCTGTACTGCAGGACACTCTGGATCCTTCACAGCCTAAGATGCATTAGGAAATTTCTGAGAAGAGGGTATGTAAAAAAATTCAAAAAGTGTATTGACCAAGAAGCTCTTTAGTCTAAGAGAATCTTGAGGACTGGTGGTCGGAAGCGTGTGAGGGAAATGCAGGCTGGCACAGACTATCCTTCCTCTCTTGCAAAATCCTTCTCCAATGGAGGCAGTAAAATCATGAACACAATGTTATTAAGCCATTTTGAAAATTGCTTTAACAGCATCCACTTGAGCACAGTTAATGTGCTATCCATCAGTGCGTCTATCTCCAGAGGAAACGGGATTCCCTAGAGGTCTGTACCAGAAGGTTTTGGTTTATTCCAGATCCCTCTTACACCATCAATTTGAAAGTTATAAAACTGAGCCACTTTCCAATGATCTTTGAGGTTAATACACTCATTTGTTTGACAAATATTTACTAAGCACTTTCTATGTATTAGGTTTATGAATATGAAGATTATATTTTAGAGAGGAAGACAGTAAACAGGCAAACAAAATTAATTTTAGACCATCCTACCAGGGAAGAAATAAAAATGGGTTAAGGGACAGATAGTGGCAGGTTGGGGAGGGAAACGAGTTATACAGGACAGTCAAGGCACATGGTTCTGAGGGCTGACGTGTGAGAACAGCAAGTTGAGAAGTCCTAGCCTGCAGTTGGGGATGGAGAACACCCAGCAAAGGAGAAAGGGGTCCAGGTGCTCTGTCGGGGGGCTGTCTGAAGTGTGTGTCCCGTACAAAGAAGTCAGGATGGCTGGAATGCAGCGAATGTCACTGGGACTGAGGGCAGGGGCCCTCCCAGGTCGGGGGGGGGGGTCCCAAACCACAGCACAGAGTTTGGATCATCTCTTAAGGGTCACTGAAGGGTTTGAAGCAGAATAAGATTCTTACTTGGCTTATCATTTTATAAAGATTAATCTGACTGCTTGAAGAGACTATTCTTGAGGAGGATAAAGTTGCAAGCAGGAGATAAGATGTGACAGTGCTCATAAAGGTGTCCAGAAAAAGGGAGGCCAAACTTGAAGGACATTGGAGGGAAAGTGAATTTCTTCCTACTCTGGGTCTCTGAGGTCCCATTTAGCTTATAATTTAAAAGTTTTAGCTTATAATTTAAAAGTGGCTCTATTTATCAAATCAATCATAATTCAAGTCAAAGGGTACATTTTCATTAATAATCTAATTCTGAAATCTGCTCTAAGAGATGGAAAAAATTCCAAAGTCAAAAAAAAAAAAGATTGCATGTGTCATTGTTGACAACAGTGAATTCTCAGAAACAGCCCAAATGTGTAACAGTAGTGGGGGACCTGGTTAGGACAATTATGATTCATGAAAGGGATTTCTTTTGATGACTTCAGTGGCATAAAAAATGTCTAGGATATGACACAAAGGAATGAATTCAGACCGCCCGTGAAGAGAGTGGAGTTCATGAACTTAGGGTCAAGTGTGTTGACTCCAACTCAACTCAATGCAAGCAACGTTGACAGGAAATAGAGGAGAGGGATCTGGGGTGGATGTTGGAGGGATAAATATGAGTTAAGGCTGAGTGGAATTACAGGTGACCCTGAATACTAAATCATCATATCTTCCAATTCTTCCACATAGGGATAGACATTCCCCTTCTACAGAAAAGGGGACTGAGATTCTGAGGACTCTTCCAAAATCCTATAAACTGAAACTAACTGGGCTGGGATTAGAACCCAGACTCTTCTGACTTCAAAGCAACTGGCCTTTATCACTACACATCAATTCAAAACAGGGTTTACCAGGCGATTCCCTGAAGGTGCTCAATCATCAACGTTTGCCTTAATTCATGACCTCAACTTAATGTGCAGATCTTAGTTCTTCAAAGGATGCAGGCTTTACCAGGGTTAAGGTCTAGACATTCTCTCAACAATTTATAAGTATCTACTGTGGACAGTGGTTTAAGTCTAGAAATCCAGAGGATTCAAATAATAAGACAATCCCCAACTTCAAAGAACTGTGTTTAAGCTAAGAGAAGGCCAGACAAAAGCAAATGGTATCACATGTATAACGATGAGGAAGAATTCACACACAGAGGAATTCAGAGTGAATTATGACAATGACAGTAAGTGATGTCTTTATGGAAATGTGCTCTACAAGTTAAGTTGGAAATACAGACAAGACTTTACTGGCTATAGAACACAGCAGTCTAGTTCAGTTGAGGACTTGGTCTGCTCAGTTCTTTCTGGTTCTATTTACCAGGATGTCCCTCAGGCAAGTGGCTATAGTTCCCATGCCTTAGTGATACCATGTGTGAAATGGGAATTTTCACTGCAGCTGTTTTACAGGATTGCTGAGGAAGAAATGAAATCAGATGCATACACACTTCACCTGCTGCATGGAAATGCCAAAATATGACAGCAACGATTCCTAGTCTGGATAGGAGATTTTAGGTGAAGAATATGTGAAAAAGAAAGTGGAGATGAGAACACATAGATTTAAAGAGGTAACAAAGAGAAGAGAGCTCCGTTGTGGCTTTGAATGTAATTTTCAGAAGCCTGAAGATTTCTGATGGTAACTCCACAACCATTGTAGCTTTCAGGCACACCAAATTATAACCAGAATCAAATTACAGAAACTGGAGAAGTGAGAGCTAGGAAACAGAGTCTGTTGGGTGAGTGTGATAGAAAAAAAAATGAGATTTGGAGTCAGGTGTGATAAGGGGTTCATCCACTATGCAAAGTCACACAGGAGGGTAGAGGAAAAGGAGTGGGAGGGGGCAAGACGATAAGAGACAAGAGAAAGGGGAGGGGAGTGGGGAGAAGAGCTGATGGAAGAGAAGGAAGAGAAGGATAACAACAAGTAAAAGAGTCAGAAAGAGGAGGGTGAGGGAAGAATGGATAAGTATTATTTGTCTTTACATGTGAGCTCAGCACAGCACTTAGCTATCAAAGCAATGCTGTGAGCAAGGGGTGGCCTGGAGAAGTAGTGACCAAGGTGATACAGTGGTTCAGTTAATAGCAACATCAAAATTGGAACCCAATTCTAACTTGCAATACTCCCATTCTTGACTACCAGATTATCAGATGATGAAAGACTGAGTCCAAACCCTGGCTTCATTAGAACATTTTACTCTCTTGCTCTCTTCAAAATAACCACAGCTACAAGTTCAGGAGCACCCACTATGCTCAGGTCCTAAGCTAGGCACTTTCTTTAGGTTACTGCTAATCTTCTCAGCCACTGCAAAGGATGAATGACCCATCCTGGCTGTTGGGTGAAGCAGCGAGGACTGAGAGAGGCCAGCCCTACACCCTGCGGCACAGGTCTGCTGTCTCTAAGCCTCTGCTGAGAAGACTTATCTGGGGCATGAGTTATGTGAGCACAGGGAAGCAAGGAGAGAGGACATACTCCTTCCTGGCATCTTCAGGACCGGGGACAGCTCCGTGCCAACCTGCCAAGAGGGACTGGGAGGGCCTACCTCGAGACTTGCTCCTCCTCTTCCGCTTCCCTGCCGAGGCACTGCGTGGTGCAGGCTGCAGCTGACCAATCTCGATGGGCGTGTTAGCACGGAAACTGTCCTTGAACTTCTGCATCAGGGATTCCACTGTCTCCTGCGTCGCCTCAGCTGCTGCTACAGGGTGGGCAATGGGGCTGAGGTTAGGGCTTGGCCCATCTCCAGCCCATGGAGGACTGGGCCAGCCACTCTGTGTCCCTGGTACTCCCTCCCTCACCCAGCAGTGATACAGAAGCCATTGGTACTAGTACAGATATGACTATGGTCTTATGTACCCATTTATTTAACACTGAGTGTGCTGGGTCCCACGGCCTTGACAAATGATGGAAATTCAGACAGAATTCACAATGTGAAAAATTTCTATCTTGTGGGATGCATGTGCAAGTATTTGCATCATTGTATAATAATTTTTGTGCTAGGACAGTAAAGAGTAATAGAGGAGCACCCTCAGTGTGAAGGAAGACTTCCTGGAGGAGGCAGGTCTCGAATGAGTAGAATTAGCCAAGAAGATAGGATAAGCAGAGAGTTACTGAAGAGCTTTGTAATAAGTGTCCTGAGTAGAAAGAGAGAGGTATGAGCAAAGATGTGGAAGGAGAAACAGCATGGTTCTTAAACCACTGAAGACAGTGCCTGTGGCTACAAAAGACCATGCAAAGAGGAGATGTGTTTGAAAAGGTGAGATCACCTTAGGAAGATCAACCCTCGGAGGTAGGATTCTATCCTAAGAGTAAGCGATAATTTCCAAAAGGATTTAAAAAGAAAACTGGCATGTCAAATTAAGGTCCCTTGGCAGCCTGCATGTAAGCACTGTATTATTAACAGGAGTTGTCATGCTCTCCATAACATCCCCATGACTTACTTATTTTATAACTTCAACCATTTCCGTCAATCCCCCAACCCATTCCTCCTGGCCACCATCATTTTGTTCTCTATATCATGTGTTTTGATTGTGCATTTCTCTTGCCTTCTCAATTCCACATACAAGTTAAATTATATTTGCCTTTCTCTGAGTGTGTCATTTAGGAGAATGCTTTCAGTGTCCACTCATGTTGCAGCAAGATTTTGTTCTTTCTAATGGCTGAAAAATATCCCACTGTATATGCACACACTATCTTGTTTGTATGTTCATCCATCACTGAACACCTAGGAATTTCCCCTATATTTGTCTGTTGTAAATGATGCTACAATGAACCAGGGTGCATGTACATTTTCAGATGAATAGTTTTATTCTTATGTTATACATCAGTTATACCCCAATAACATTAATTCCCTCTGATGATAGTTCAAACTGAATTACGAATAATGTCGAGTGAGGTTGTAGAAGAAGTCAGTACAGTCTTTTGCAGTCACCAGCCAGAGGTGATGGTAGCTTAAATTACAATAGTGAAGGTAGTCAGCAGTACATTGGTCAAACTATATCCCCATTTTTTTCTGAAAGGAAACTGTGGCCCCAAACAAAGCAAACTACTTACTCCAAGCTGAGAAGTGACAATGAGCCCTCTAACTCCTAGCTCCATGTTCCATCAGTCCCCTCTACTGTGATTTCAGGAGCCACTTCAAAATGGAGACTGGTAGAAAGGTCCAGAGATTGGAGAATGTGACGTCAGAAAAGCATAGAGAAAGATGTGAATGATTAAAGGGAGAAAGTGAAAAACAAAACACGGGGAAGGAAGGAGAGAGACACGATACTAGGCAAGGAAAGGAAACAAGAAACACGAAAGGAACTTGCTGAATAGACTCAGCCCCTTTGTTCTGAGAAATCCACAGAGACAGCTCTGATTTTGAAATTGTCAAACTCGGTGCGCTCTCCAACTATGTCTCTAGAAGCAGGGATATTTTTCCAGCATGAGCTACCTACTTTAGCATGCCAAGAGATGGGGTGTGCCAGAGATCCTGTTTCTTTGACGGAATTTCACTAGCCTGGATAAAGGAGGCCTGTGAGCATCCCGGCACCCCTTTCTAAGGGTTTCCCCAGAAAAGCTTATCAACCTAGACAGATGTATCCGTGCAGCATAACAAAATTCACAGACTGGGTAACTGAACAACAGAAGTGTATTTTCTCATACTGCTGGAGGCTAGAAGTCTGAGAGCTGGGTTCCAGCATGTCTGGGTCCTAGGGATGGGTCTCTTCCTGGTTTACTGGTGGATGCCTTCTGTGTCCTTATGTGGTAGGGTAGTGAAGTGCACAGGGACAGAAGAGGCAAGGGAAAGATCTAAGTCTACAGTCCTGTCAAATCATCCTACCCTTATAATCTCATTTATGTTTAGTTACCTTCTAGGGATCATGCTTAATGAAATAAGCATGAAGGAAGAAAAAGAAAAATACCGGATGGGGGGGAGGAGGAGGAGGAGGAGGAGGAGGGGGAGAAGGAG